GTAATTGAATTGTATACTAACAGAGTTATCACTAATATTGCTTCACTAACTAGACCATATAATATGTATGACAAATATATTAATTGTATATGCTTATAAAAGTAACAAGACATCATTAAAATACCCATCAAAATAGAACAAAATGATGTAAATATATCACCATAATAATTCCAATCCAATTTMACTTTACCAATAAGATAAGCACCAAATGCACCTACAACATAAATGCATAAATAAATAACAGTTAGTAAAATATTTAATGTAACATGTGTCATGTTTGTTTTATATAAACTTAAATATGTATGATAGTTTCATCAAATACTATATTACATAATATTGTATACTTCAATTTTGAAATATATCATACCTACTTAATTTTTTTTAAAGGTGTATCAATTGTTGGTCATTTTTAGACTACACATTAATTGTATAAGCCATTTCGCACACTTGCAGTGTGTTGACTGTTGTCACTATATMAAATATATTTATAATAAATTGATACCTAGTTGTCAAATTATTTTAAAATGTGATAAGTTAATGTATTTGATTTTATTATAAAGCTATTAGTCAGCAAAATATAAGTTACCGCGCAAAAGAGTTCATGCATTGTTATAATTCTGTATTAAAATGTATTTTAATACATAAATGAATTAACCACTCTAATTTTTTTCTGCTAATATTTCATYTTTATTTTTTATTAACTGATTAAATGTTTCTYTTAAATGCAGAAACATTTTAGGAATGGACCAATAATACTGAAAGAAATTATCTTTAAACGTTTAAACCAAAAGAGTTTTATGGAATTTTTATTACAAACTGGTGCAATAAATATATTTTAAACTGAAGACAAAAAAACACACACACACGTTAACCTGTGAAATCAATCAAATATTCAAATGAATGATAAAAAATATGTCAAAGCTCAATAATGTAGGATCTACATACTAATGAACATACCTACATTGTATGTAATTGATACTTAAATTTTAAAATACTAACCGCACAATGTGACCATTGACTCAGCAAATCCATTTGATAAGATATCATTATTACCATGTTTATTAACAACATAGGAGTACAGTACATTCATATTATTTAAAATCTATAAAATTGAAAAYATAAAAATATCATTACATACTAATTGCTAAAATACAGTGTTTTCTTACATATTATTATRAATCTCTGTTTTCAAAATAATGACAAGAAAGATATCTTRATTATARAAGATAAAAATTAATATATWCATAAAAATAATTTTAGCTCTAAAACGATTAAAAATTCTTAAATTATGTTTTATTTGAWATCTTTATGTATGCTGTATAGTATAGTAATAATGTTAAGTATAACTAGTGTAAGATATAGGTATGCATAATATTTATTGTAACTTTTRTATAATTTTATTTCGGTTGAACTAAGGATTGTCAATGGTACCATTGTGTCATAGCCWATATCAGGTGTTTTTAATGTTGATTGTCCATGCCTTTGACCATATAAGCTAATAGACGGGCCTTATCATATGCTTGTATAGGCACAATTATGTAGCCATCATGTTTAATGATATGACGTCACGTTTGGGCAAAACAATTTCAAGTTATAATTAATTTGTTTATTTAGTGTTCACTTGKTCACAGGCTCACAGCGTTTGCCGTTTGGAACACATTTTTTACTGTCGTATTGTATGTCTTGAGTCTGTCCCTTGTCGTCAAAAATTATTTTTCACATTCTAGCTTTCATAGTTTCAAACTGCTTTCTTTGAAACTTGAAAGTATTGTGTTTTTGAAATGTTTGATAAATGATTATGATTTTATTATAATGATAGTTAAAGTATGAATGTTGAAAAGCTTAGTTTTTGGTTGCATTATTTTACTTTTGATATTTATATGATACACCTCACTAAGACTATGACTATGACTTGACAAATGGAAGTTTGTATCAGAAGACCATTTTTAAGTAGAACAAATAATATTAAGAATTCTTGAAGACACTAGTATTCAAGTGTATTTAAAAATTTAAAAAATCAGAATTTAAATACCTATATGCATAATTTAATCATAAAAATAGRGTGAGCATGCTCATAAAAAATCACCCAGTATAATGTGCTAGCATCAGCCTGATATTGGTTAAATATATTTTTTTGAATCAATATAAATAATGACAAATAGATTTACAATGCATTATATGTTATACCAGATATCTTGTTAAATTAAATAATTCCTAAATGTGTTTGTATTACTTTTTAAATAAATATAATCACATTAAGTTAATAAATGTGCCATTAATATTGCATAAATAATTTTTATATCATACATAACCCTATTAAATGTAATTTTATTTTTTAAATATTTTAATAGGTACCTGAACATATGCTGCCATTCCAAATATATACCAAATAGATTTTTTTAATATAATTTTATTTGAGAGTGAAGTCTTAAAATCCAACCAGATTTGTTTCAAAACAACTACTATCTTGTATTCATTATCAATCCTGATATTACCTAAACATAAAAAATGTAAAAATAACAGTAATAGAATCCAAACAAGGCATTAGTGTTTGGTTATTGCCTATAATTTATTAAACAATGTGTCTACAAATTGTACTATTTATATTCTTTATGATTACCTACAATGTTTTATTTCRTGAATACCAGATGTAATATTTTCACTGTTTTTGAGAAGCATGGTCTTTTCATCTGGAAAATTTGTCTTCAAAGAATTCTTTGGTTTAATAGGAGGAAATAAAAAAGCCCAAATCGTAGCCAAGAACATAGCTGAAAAAAATAAATTGTTTTAGATAATTAATATAGACTAATATTCTAGTAGGTGCATAAAAACTAATTATGAATAATATGTCTATGAAACTTAATAACAATTTTGTAATTTAAAATTGTAATAACATAATTATAATGGAAAAATTTAAAATTTAATGACTTGGATTTCAAACTTGGAATTCAATATGCATATTGGTTATAATCTRTAAGTTATTCAAAATTAGGTATTAAATAGAAATATAATGTTAAGATTTATTCAAAAATTATTTTCAAATTKAATGGTGACATAGAATGAAAGCGAAGTCTCTCTTCTCTTTAGAAAATATGTATACACCTACCCATTCTAGTTATATCCTAATGAAAAATAAATTTAAATATTCAGATACTTACACACATTTATTTTTACATTTTGCTTCCCTTCTAATGTTTTACCCAATGTATGCACTTCATATTATTACCATAGAATTTGTACAACAAATTAAGTGTAAATTTGATATTGTCTATTATTCAAGTAACTGCCATTTAAGAATAAGAAACCACAGATATATACTAATTAGTATTAGTATATATCTGTGTAGGAAACTGAGTAAGATTTTGTAAGTGATATTTAAAAAAAAAGGAATTAAATAAATAATATTATTAAATACTAACCAAATGCATTACAGTAAGGCAGTGATGTGTAGCTTCCTCCACTTGAGCTGACTATGATTTGCCCAGAAACATCTCCAAAGAATTTTCCTAGCTCCAAACCAACAGCTGCAATGCTAGCAGACTTTTGAAAATGTTTTTTGTCTTCAATACAGGCAAATAAATAACATGATGCTACAGTTGTGGTACAGTATGCTGAACCATAGAAAAACATAGACACCTGGAATTAGTATATAAATACTATAGCAATATTATCGTAGATATATGTTTGCAATATTAGCACTAACCTTTAATCGTACTAAGCTTGGTGAACCCACCATGAGAATATAAGTGATACATGAGCAAAATGTTAAGATTATGACCACAGTCTTGTATAGAAGGTAGTCTGAAACGATTAACATTATAAACGTTGCTATTAGAGCAGAGTATGATCTAATAGACTCCATCGAGTTAGCGACCTGTAACATAACAAATTCAGTTTATACAAACTCCCAGCCTTGAGTCCAAGCTTCAGGGGCAGACCAAGACGGAGGGTTGGGAGGTMAGTTGACCCGCAGTTTTTTCTTCAATAAAATGTGGCCCCTCAAAATGACAAACTACATAACATTTTTTTTTATTTAAAAAAAAAAGTGTACTGTAATCAATAATARAGTAATATAAAATAGGTWATAACATAGAYTCGAGAATTTTTATATAAAAATATAGTTATAGGTACACTTATAAATACTTTTATATTGGTAGAAACATTTTAAAACCAAAGTTAAAAATAATACTATTAATGTACCTCCGAGAGAGAAATCTTTCCATTTGGCCCAGTGAGATAAGCTGTTAAATATGGTTCTAGTGGACGTATTTCTACCAGAAACATAAAAATGGCCACCACATATGTAATTTTTTTCCAACTTTCCATTGCTGTAAAACAAGCGTACAAACATTATATTAAGCTAATAATTAATTAGTTTACATTGCATAGCTATAAACTTCATAAATATTATACAATAATATGTGAATCTATCATCAATTCTAAAATGTAGTTGAGCACCCTATAATATTTGTAAAATTGAGACTTACTAAACTATAGTAAAATTATATACTATTCTACTGAACTTTTGTACATTATTTGAAGTTTAGTACCTTTCCTAAAGTCGTTTCTTCACCATAAGTACTCGTAAAATTTGAAATGACTAAAAATAAAAACTATAAGTATAATTAAGTCCTAAAATAGAAGGTATTTTTTATAAAAAAATTATAATTGGTGAATGATCMGAATCATATTCACTCAGTGGCRCCGAAGTCCTAAAAATCTAGTRGGGCGAAAAATATTTCAAGAGGCCCAACRTCTTAATATCAGAAAAAATGGCATACCGTATAGAGGAAAATGGTCAATATGAAGCGGCTCTATCTTAAATTTTCAAAATATGTCGGGCCATGGCCCCACCTTAACATAGGGTTCAGCGCCACTGTATTCACTGATATAAAACTAATTTATGGATATTAAACAAATGTTTAATCGACAAAATTAATATAATTTATTTTAAAACAAAACACATACCTATTATGCTACTTAAAATTGTGTGCATCTATGACCTATGTATTGTTTATTTTAAGTATTTTAAGTACCTACCTACTAATTAGTATCCCAATTGATAAATTAGCATTATGTTAAATTAGGTTTTCAATTACTACTATATAGTACATACCTATACATTTAGATAGTAGGTAGGTAGTAGCCAGTGGTGGTAGTAGTAGAAGTAAAAGTATATGAAATATAATATTATTATTATATAACAATAACATGAAAATTACATAAGAGTATTCATGTTCCTATAATCATGTTACACAATATTACTACAGTTAAGCCGGTCCCACACGACTCGTGTACTCGGCGAATAATCATCAATCGTAATGCTTTACGACTTTACSAGTCGTGTAGGAGATGTTTAATCGTCAAGTATGACAATTATTTTTATTCGCCRAGTCGCTCGGCGTTTCCCATCGGTTGTCGGTAAATGTGACACGACTACACGAGTCAAAGGAATTATAAAAAATCGCGTGTCGATAWTTAGGTAATCGGCGAATATAAGAAACGTGTAGGAGCAACATAATCGTCAAGTCGAAATACGAGGCGATACACACGCGATACGCGATTACTATTCTCGCCGAGTAGTGAGTACACGAATCACGAATCATGTGGACCGGCTTTAGTATTTTTCAATTTTTCACGAATCATAATAAATACAAAACCTAAGGTATTCTTATCATTATTTTTGATATCATAAGTTACAATCTTAAATCGAAGTAACAATTACCAAGGTTTATAGATATCTACAAGGGTATCCGGACATTTTCCCCCCGGCTGTTTTCGGCGTAGTAGGACATTTTCCCCCAATAAATTTTTGGATGCGGACATTTTCCCCCCGTATTTTTTTCTATTATTTACCTTCGAATATAAAATTATTATCTTTAACACATATTTTTTAGCTTTTGTTCATAAATTTTTTTTTTATTTTTGTAAAAACCGTACGTTAACTAAAAAGTCTCTAATC